GTTATAGAGGAATTAAGCTTGTTTTTTTCTTGGTACTTTTGTACTCTTTTTTCCTTTTAGATCTCTGGTCCATTGGAGTTCATTTTATTATACACTGTGAGGCATGGATCTAATTTTTTTCCCAAATACTAAATTCTTTAGTAATTCTTAATCTTGTTCTTGGACTTTTAAAAACTTTTTCTGTGAAGTGAGAAGAATTCTTTGAGATATAGACATATATGTAATGCTTAATATGCACACATATATGTAGACTAAACCATAGAGTTTAAAAATAGTTTCTAGTAGAGGTAAAATTTTTCCCTTTATGCAGATTAGGCTGGGTTTATTATGAAATGTTAACTTCCACAGCAATCAAGGTCTTCACTTTTGTTGATGTAGTAAGGGGTGAAGAGACCTACCCCAAAGTTGCTTTAGGACAGCTTCTGAGAGTGGGTAGCATATCTTGGTCATTTGACTGTTTATATAGGACAGTTAATTGGAACATTATTTGTAATATATAGGACAGTTAATGGAAAATTGCGAGGGGAAGATCTTTACAAAGATGCTGAGTGCTAAAATACACTTCATAATTTACGTTTGTAGCTTAAGTGTAGCTTTAGGACTTCTGGTGCTCTTGTTTGAAACTGGCAATAGCCAATAATTGTGAACAGACAGTTCTTAAGCACAGTATGTCCTCTCTCTTGGGCTTTTTGTCTCATTGATGGGTAGTACCTTCTGAAGGATTGGAGAAATAAGTAGCCCTGTGCTCTCCTCCTTGGCCATAGTTGTCCATAAAGCATTGGATGATATTTTTTCTTCTGTTTTCTTTTTTAGTATTTATTTTAAATTTGGGTGTTTCCAACCCCCTTCCATTTTAAAAGTACAAAATTGGCATATATTAGTGTCCCAAATGCTTTACCCATTGACTACTTATGACCTATGATTTTTCTCAGGGTTATAGAGCAGAGTAGAAAATTTTGTGGAAACTGAAAGACATGTAGTCTTTCCCTGCCTACATACCTTTCTTTTTTTTTTGGATAGTCTGCTACATTGTCTAGAATGACATTATGAGTTGGAGAAACACAGTTCTTTTCATCATAGCAAATATGCTGATTCTCATTTTAGTAAGATTTTTTTTTTTTAAGTTGTATATCTCCATTTTCCTGAGGGGGAAGATACATATCATCCAGTCAGTTCTGGGTAGTTAGGGAGTACGATTGTTCTAATATGAGCACAGCTAAAGGAGTGATCAGCTTGAATGTGTCTAATACCTAGAATGCCACAGGCCTGCCCATGATATGATACAAGACTTGTAAATGGTATACAACTCTTATTAACTGAGTGTGCAGCTTTACTTAGTTTACTTTGTTTTTGTTTAATAAGAAATTCTACTTTTGTTTCTCTAATTGGTAAGCCAGTGTATACTTAACTTCAGTTGCTGCTGACCCCAAAGGGGGCAGTATGGTATAGACTACCGTAAGAGAAATATATATTTTTAAATCTTTATTTTGTCAGTTCTCTGTGACCTTGGGCAAGATTCTTGTCTTAGCCTCACTTTTATCATTCGTAATATGGTAATAAGTAATACACTGTAAGGATTAAGTGAGGTAATATATGTATATGAAATTCTTAAGAAGTCGCCTGATGTACAGTAACCATTCAGTGAACTAACTGTACTGGTTATCATTATTACTTTTAATTATTGTTTTGTGAAGAACTTAAATAGCTTTTTGGTGAAAGATGTTAGATATAGCTAGTATTAAATGATGATGAACAGTTTGGTCATGAACTCATTTTCCAGTCCCTTCTTTGACTAATTTCCAAGATATTCATAATTTGCAACTGTTGGCAAATTATGACAACAGGCAAAGAAATTAATATTGTAAACTTCTAATTCTTCATAATGAAAATAATCAGTACAAGTATCTGCCCCTGTAGGTAGATGTGGTATGATATGATGGAGCTCAGCAGCCATAGCTCTGATTCCTTCTCCCCTTCCCCTCTCTCAAGTGAGTCAGCTCCCTTAGTAGTTGAGAACATGCCCAGAAGACTGTTTTCTGCTTGGCCTCTTCTACCTTCATACGGGCCAGAGGAGTAATGAAAGGAGTGTAGCTTCCTTTGAATTTTGTCATCGCAAAACAATAGACATAGGAGCAGGTATTGGGAAACTCTTGTTTCTAAGAGCAGATGATGGGCAGAAAAGAGAAAGGAAAAAAGATAATTGATTTCTGCAGAGCTGTGTAATAGTCTCTGTTTCCCATTTTGTCTGCAATTCTTTGTAGTCCCCTTTTCCTGAGTTTCATAGTTTAGTAAAATTTCTACATTCTAGCAATATCCTTTTGCTTAGGCTTCTAGTTGAATTAGAGGTTTTTTTTTTAAAGGGTAAAATAGATGTAACAGTATCTTCGTTTTCCCTCCTTTTCTCCTTTCCTTTCAGCAAAACCAAAGCCCAGTCCCTTATTTCCATACTTGTAAAGCTTTCTACTTAAATCTGTAAAGATGAAAATCATAAATTCTTTATCATAAAGAAATGCTACTTATTTGGCCTTTGCCGATATTACCCTGACCTTAAAGTGGTTACTATTTAAGTAATGAGAAATTAAAACACCAAGTTTTTGGTATTTTTACACTTGATAGCATATAGTTAGATATTGGGTGAGTCACATTACCTGCCCCCTCAACACTTCACCGCTCCTTTTGTTATCACTCTTCTCCCACTAGGCAGCTTCCAGGGCAACTCCATCTGAGGTGTAACTAAATGCAGAAAATGCTTCAATTTAGTGGTAAAAACAACTAGATGATTGACAGTGATTTCCCAGTGTCCAGTTCAGAGAAGCTAATTTATTGTGATTTTATTTAAAACTTTAAAAGCTTAAAGGGCACAGCATTAACTAACAGATGTAGTCTAACAGATTATTCATCTCCTTTCAGCAGTGTACTCTATATTGGGTCTTCTCAAAACTCACTCTAACCAAATGGATAAGGTTCTGTTTAAGGAAGCACAGGAAAGCTTTTGTGTTTCCCTTGACAACTAGTTCTTCTAGGTGAGTATCTGCCTTAATTGGCAGAATTGTAGTAATTCCTCATAATTTGGGTGAAGTGATTTTGTGAGTATTTCCAGACATCACATATAGTACTTTTCACAAATAAGGGCAGTTCCATTTATAGAGTAAGAATAATGGCGTCTTACTTACCTTACTCCTCACACAATGCTTTTTGTGGTTAGTATGAGGGAGTCTAGGTTTTGGTTTCTGCTGCACTTTTGGTCCTCCATTTTCTTCTTCATGGACTCCAATGGGAAGTAGTCGGTTAAAATATTTTTCATGAGAAAAGTATTTGTAAGTACAGGTTACAAGACTAAGTTTTAAATGGCTATGGAAGGAACACCATTAATGTATAGATCTTGATCCTCTGGAGGTACTACCCATCTTAATTTTAGAGATTATATTTCAGAAGGATATAGGGGGAAATAGCCCTAGTTATTTTCCCTTGTCCGAGTGTATGCTGGTCTAAGAATATATATATTTCAGATTTCAGTTTAATTGACAGACCTTTTTATAGTATAGCTATTATTTAACTGACAGACCTTTTTATAGTATAGCTATAGCTATTGTAGCTTTTAGGACTTGTCCAAGCAGTAGGAGCATTTTAATTTGGATGATGAAAAAAGTGAAGTTCAATGAAAAGTGCAATTATTAAAATATTTGTGAAATTTTAAAAATTTATTTTAAAATATTATCTTTATTTTAGAGGATTTCATTTATTTTTAAATCTTTATTAGGATTTTTGTTTGTATGTAAGCTAATCACACCAAATTACTTAGTCTATTCAGATTGTGTTGGGACATTTGTTCATACTTTGATCATAGCACTCAGTAAACAGAAAAGTAATTGTAGTAATTATTTTGTATATGTTTAATAATAGTTATTTAGAAATTTATATTTACAGTTTAAAATAAGAGATAAATGCTTCACCGTTTAGCAGAATAACTACTTCTTGTCTTAATCTTTTAATTTTTGTAAGCACTAATGTCTTACATATTATTTATGCCCTCTTTAGTTATTGAAACTGTGACTTCAGTGGGAATTGAGCTCAGTTGTCACAATTTATTTATTGCCAATTCTTTGTATAGCAGCCTTATATGCTCATTTGTAAGAAAAGAGGAAGATGCTTTGTATAGACCTCTCAAAATAAGATGAAAATAATGTCTAAATATACATATTTTGACCGAAAAAAAAAGATAGTTTTCTATAAATAGTGCTGTTCAAAGTAATCATCCTAGGGCATACATTAATTACCTGCTTTGTGACCAGTATAGTGAGCATAGTTCAGGGCTTTGTTTTTTTCAGTTCTGAGACCTGCTAAACATGGCCAGGACCAGTGTCATTCTAGGGTACTGTGCCAGCAGCTAGTTTGTAAGAATCTAGATCAGATTAAATAGAGGAAGAAACAAGAGTCTGGTTAACAGATCATAATTTTGTGATTTTTCAGGTGGCCTTCTGGTAGCATCTGCTCATTTTGGTGCATATGTATATGGGACTGACATAGACTACAACACAGTTCATGGCTTGGGTAAGTAGAGGTTCTAGACAGTGCTACAGTCTTGGCTCTTGTACCAAATGTGCCTTTAAAATAATTAAATAGTTTTATATGGCATTATACGTCTCTTTTTAATGTTAAAATAAAGTTGTGATATAGTTTTACTTATTTTTCCAACAATAAGGCTTAATTGGGTATCTGCTTTTTACGAAGTGATCAGTATGTGCAAAGTGATCTTTGGGGGACACAGTGATGAATAAGAACAGGCTCTCCCCTCAGAGGTATTTGTGGTCTTATCACAAGAGAGAGATTTTAAAAAAGTATGCCAACTCTAAGATTGTGAACTTCAGGGTTGGGAGAGAAGTAGGAGAAAGGTACTAGACATTTTGTAATCAGCATGTGCATGTTAATAAAACAAAGTTTCTATTTAAAGATTACTTTTGAGGCAATTTTGGAAAACAGTTTAAAATCCAGAAGTTTGGTATTAAAAATGTCAGTTTTCATTGATGATTTTGAAATTGTTTATATTTATGTTGGTATTCCATTATTGTAACTAGAATCAACCTTTAAAATACTTTTTTCCTTTTTCTTATACTGTAAGTTGTTATAGGTAAGAATTTATTATCCTTAATTTTCTTTTGCTGAAACAATTTGACATACCGTACTTGATGACTTGTCTTTTTTCCTACTCTGACTATAAGGAATTTAGTAATATTTATCATAAGGAAAATTAGTTATATTTTATCAAGTTCACCTAAATGGCTAACCAGAAAAGACTATTCTTTGTCTGCAATGTGTTAGAGTAGATAAAGTGCTAAGAAGAATTATTCCAGTTGGCTTTTAGTAGGAACAGTATGTTTGCTTTAAGGAAATTGTCCTATATAATTTATTTGAATTTTTATTTATGAAAGTTGTGTTTAAAAGTTATGTTATAAACTTTTAGTACTTGGGTAGAATTCTGATGGATGAAGAGTTTCCTCAGAGCTTATCCAAGATGTTGTTAGATATGCCCTCTATTTCCTATGCTTCTAGTGTCTTACTATACTCAAATATTCTCAAGTTTCTCCTATTCTTAAAAATACAAAACCTTTTCTAGCAATCCTATAGGGGATTTCTAATTACCATTTTATTTTCCTCTTACTTTTGACAAAATGCTTCTTGAAAAACTAGTATTTACTTGTTCTCATCTCTCACTGTCTCGTACCCATTATTTACCAGTTTTCATGTCTACTGAAAACTGTTACTAAAGCCACAGATTTATAGCATTTGACAGTGTTGACCTTCCTAAATCTTCTTTGGTTTCCTAGACGGTAGTCTCATTGGGTGGTACTTTTATTTCCTTGACTGTTTCATCTCAATCTCTTAAGGCCCTGTAGTTTTCTTTGACCTGTGTTTACATGCTACTTTTCTCTGGGCATCTCTCTTCCCGCTTCCATCCACTACTTGTGTGCGGAGTCATGCCCTTCTTCTTTTTTTGATTTTTAAGTTTCGTTTTTATTGTGAAGTAGATCATAATACAGAAGAGTATATAAAAATAGAATATTTATAGAACAAACATTTACGTAAGTATCACCTAGGTTAGTAATGTCATTTATTCTTATGGGTTTAACTTAAGTTTACGTACTGATTATCTCCCAAGTGTATATATTCTGGCCTCCCCCTACCTGCTGAATATCTTCTTTCTGAATGTTCTGTAGTTACCTCACAAGCAAGATTGGTATATCTCAAGTGAATCTCATCTTTTTTCTTAAGCTGCTTTTTCCTTTTAATTTCTCCCATCTTACTTGATGGTATCATCATCTACTTCTGTCTCCTAAACTAGAACTTTTGAACTTCTTCCTTCAACCTCTATTTTAACTTTTCATCTGTAACGTCTCCATTTTGCCTCTCTTCATGGTCACAGCTCTTGGCATTTCCCAAATTAGCGCTCCTTATTTCTCTTTCATTTATCTGATTCATCACTCTTCTACATGGTACTGTTTGCTGCTGGAGGTGAGGGACCATGTTCTATTCAACTGTGTATCTTCTGAATATATACTTTGAACTCAGAAAGTATTGAATGAGTGTTTTAAGGCAATTTTACTTGAAAGCTGACAGAGCAATATCATTTAGATGTCAGTAAATTTTACTGTTCAATGTATTTATAATAAGTTGAAATAAAATAATTGTTTATTTGTGTAAATAAAATTAATTTTAAATGAAAGCAAATTTTATTTGAGTAAATGTAGTTTTAGATGAGTTAATTATCGCTTTTAGTTAAATGGCAAGAAATAAGAATGCCCTTTTTGATTTAGTACTTTGTCTCCTTTTTTCTTTCCCTTCAGGAAAAGCTAGTAGGAAAAACCAGAAATGGAGAGGACCGGATGAAAACATTAGGGCAAATCTTCGTCAGTATGGTTTAGAGAAGTATTACCTTGATGTCTTGGTTTCAGATGCATCTAAACCTTCCTGGAGGAAGGGCACGTATTTTGATGCAATCATCACTGATCGTAAGTTTATCTTTATACAAAAGTCAGAGCAGGATTAGTTTCCTAAAGTCATTTACATTTAAAGTACAAAATTTACCAACACACAAAGTGTCAACTTGTACTGGTATTCTTCCCATCCCCGACTTCTTCACATAATGAAGAAGGAGAAAATTACAAATATAGGGTAGAATACCAATTTAAGTAAATAAGAGTTCACTGTTTTATTTTTTTAAACTATATATATTAACTTGTCATTCTTTTCTCTATTCAACTTATTTTTTGAGGCACGTATTTGTTTTTATGTTTGTTTTATATTTGACTGTAATTGGTCATTAGTATGCCCAGTGGAGCCAAAATGTCATTTGCAATTATGGTGTCAGATACAAGAGAGTATCAGATATCACATATTTCTCCATGTGTAAGTGTTTGTGTTTTTTGTAGTGCCTGTTTTCACTGGCATCTCCTTTCTAGAGTTACAAGATATTTGGGATTCTGTGAACCACTGGGCTTGCGAACCCACTGAGCTTCAGGAATGTGCATGAGAACTGTTTTCCCATGCCTCGTGAGTTCTTGGGCCTTTCAGGCATCCTATCTAAGAATAGATTTGCCTTTTCCAAAGTATTTGGCAGTAAATCTGTAAATAGTGGCAAGTGTATCTTAACTCTTCTATCTCAGCCCACTTCAGTTCTTTGGTAACTTAGATGGTTTCAGATCTAACAAAAGAAAAATTATCAAGGCATTATAATAGTATAAAAATATTTTATGAAAATTGGGTGAACTTTTATTAACAATCTGTTATTTGCTCTCATTATATTTATATAAAATATGTATTTTTTTTCCTGATTGAGAGTTAATTGTATACAGTGTGGACCTTTACCCCTATACTTCAGTGTATATTTCCTAAGAATAGAGATAGTCTCTTAGTTAGCCACAGTGCAGGTGTGTCAGTTTTAATAAATCAGTATAATAGCTTAATCTGTAGTTTGTCATCTAGTTTTGTCAATTGACTTTTATAGCATATTTTCCTCTCTAGTAGAGTATGCAGTCTAGTGTCAGATATTGTAGTTATTAATCGTATCTTTTAGATATCTTTCGATTTGTAACACTTTTTCCAACTTACTCTGTCTTTATGACATTGACATTTTTGAAGAACACAATGGCCTGCCACCTTTTAAATAAAATGTTCCTAGTATTATGCATTCTCAGCATGGAATATTGCATAGATGGTGTTTATCTTTCTCAGGGTGTCATATCTGGAGGCACATGATGTCTGTCTGCTCCTCACTGGGGATTAGGTGACTTTTGACGATCTGTGTTACCTCTGTTTTTCTGTCTAGCTCCATATGGTATCAGAGAATCTACAAGAAGAACAGGTTCACAGAAGGAAATACCAAAGGGGATAGAAAAATGGTAAGCGAAAGTTAAATATGATGTGCTACTAATTAGAGAAGAAGCAACATGCTTCTTTTTAATTAACTTAGTTTAGCAGCCTCAAAGTTTTCCACTGATTTTGAAATTTTGTTTTCTTTGTCTAGTCCAGAAAGCCACGTTCCTGTTTCCTTGAGTTATCATCTGAGTGATATGTTTTTTGACCTGTTAAATTTTGCAGCTGAGACCCTCGTATTAGGTGGAAGACTAGTCTATTGGTTACCAGTGTACACACCAGAGTATGTAATATTAAATAATTTTGTTTTTAATTTCATTTTTCTTACGGTGTTTGTATATCTGGCATAATTTTTTCCCTGTCTAACTGTATTCAGGATAAATACCTTCGTATTTAATGTTTATGGTAGTCTTTGTTTACGGTAGTCTTTGTTTACCTACATATTTGTATAAAACAGGCCCCTTTCTCCTACTGATCGAATTGCTTTGACTTTTTTATTTTATGTTTTTTTACATCAGGGGTTGGTAAACTGAAGAAACATACATGGCCCACAGAGGCTAAAATATTTACTCTCTGGCCCTTTAGAGGAAAAGTTTGCCAACCCCTATTGTATGTCACACTTAGTTCAGTGCCTGATATAGCTGTTTAGCGGCTCTCTTTCCATGGTCACAAACAGAGGTACTTTTTAACACTTAGCTGAGTGATTCCTCTACTACTGTTTTAATAATTTGTTGGCTATTATGATCACCTTAAATGCAATAAATTTTTTTTAAAAGCTAATGCCAAAATAAATTCTGTGTGTATATTTAAGGCCCTCATTATGTTCAGCATTACTGGTTTGGGTTTTTATTCAATAATTATTAATTGTAAATAGAGCTATACAATGAAAGACAAGATGTCTCGAACAAGACTGGATATTTAGATTGGAAAGATAGTATCAAGCTTAAAATTGGGCTGTTCAATCTTTCATAGAAATCTTTTAAAAAAATTATTTTAAGTAAACTTGCTGCTAGAATTCAGCTTGTCTCATACAAGAACCACTCTCACACAGAAGTAAACAAATATGCTCTTCTCATATACCAGGTACCTGAGATCTGGCAGGATGTTGAATTAAGGGAACATAGCACTAGAAATAAGGAAACCCATTAGCTAACTAGCTTTTAACTTTAGACCAGTCATTTCACTGCTTGGGATTAATTTTCCTTATTTCTAAAATGAAAAGGTTAAACGAGATTATTGTTAGCAACAAAATATAAGTTCAGTGTTAAGAGGTTTGGTCATGAATGTGTAGTCTTATCAGTTGATAAACAAATAGGGGACTAAAGTTAGGCCAGACTCTTATAACTTCCAGTACAATGTTTGTAAAACAAATGAAAAACAGCACAGCTTCCAACTGCCATTGTTAAAAGACAGACAAGTTAACACTATTCTAAATGCTTTTTGTATAATCATATCTAGTCAATATAGACTTTAAGTCCTGAAAATAAGAATGATGTGTTGTAATCAAGTTTAGATATTATTCTGTAAAATCAGAACATTTTGAAAAATATAAGATGTAGTAAAAAACAAATACTACCAAAATCTTAGTTATTTGTGAAGAATCGTTGTAGCTGATGATTAAAAACATGTTTTCTCTCTGATTGGCAATCTAAATTGCAGCAAAGAATCCACTACTAAACAAGCTTCTACTGAGTATAGTTGTTTGCCCAGGTTCTACATGTCCATATAGTGTTTTCTAACTGTCATTGCACACAGATAAGTTTCTTGAAGTGATTAATAATCGTGTTTCTTTATGAAAGATGTCCTTTAATAGAACACAAACTGCTAGTGCTCATGATAAAAATTATAACAAAATGAAGAAGCTTAATAAAGTGCCCCAAAGTAGGATTTGGGGATAAAATTTAATTGTAATAAAATGAATTTTGTGGTGGCTTAGAGCATGGAACAGGACATGTTTTTTTATCTCTCATCTAGAAAATTGAAAAAAGTGATTCCTTAGACTGTTTTCAGTAAGTGCTCCAATCAACACAAAATCTGTTTCTCAAATGGGAGGTGAAATTCTAGTAACATTTCAAAGTAATTAACCTGAGACATGAAGATTCACAGGAAAATAAATGACTTTCATAATTGATTCATGGAAAAGCTAGGGGCTTATATTCATAGTTTATTTTGGCTTCTAAAAAAAACTGAAATATTTGTATACCATGAAAGTCACCCTTTTAAAGTGTACAGCTCCATGGTTTTTCGTATATCCACAGAGTTTTGTAAGCATCACCATTATCTAATTCCTTTCACATTTTTATCATCTCAGTATGAAACCCTGTATGCATAAGTAGTCACTACCACCCCTGTCCCTGGCAACCACCTGTCTATCTCTGTGGATTTGCCTAGTCTGTCTGATGTTGTAAATAGGTGCTTGGATTATAGGGGATAGTAATAAAAATGGAATTAAGATAAGATACCATACTATCATAGTAGTCCAAGCATAGTACAGATTTATAGCTTCTGTTTAACAGTTTGCGAACAGTCTTTGGGTATGAAATATATTAGTGAATACCTAGTAAAGAATTTTTTGTTAACAGCTAGTTTTCATTTTTTCGTGTGATATTTTGGGAGTACACTGTTAAATTGATTAGTGTGTTAACATAATAGAGTAGTGGTTAAAACAAGTTTGTTAATGATCCAAATGATATTCCTTTATGCTTAAACTCAGAGATTAAGTCAAAAAGGTAATCAAAACACGCAAATATGTATTTCTGCTGTTAAGCCAAATGCTGGTGATTTAGTTTTAGCAGTTTATCATCATTCATGTCACAAATATTAAAATTATGTTGGTTTTGTACTTTTAGTTTTGATATATAAATTTGTTTATATCTAATTTATATATATTTAACTAACATGTAAAAGAATACTTTGTCAACTCTACCAGGAAATAAAAGATTCTTTTTTTCTTTAATAAAGGGTACATTACTACGTTTGACAGTTTCAGAGACCTATAAACCCTGATGTTTTGCAAGCTTAAGGTCAAGGCTCTACCTTCTCTCTCTTACCACTTAAATGTTATAGAACTATAGCAGTTCTGACAATATAGTGAACATTAAAGAATTAGATAAGGTGAAATCTGAAATGGTCGTTAACTTATTGGAAAGCCCTAGGAAGGAGGCAGAGGATGATTTCAAGAGAATTCTTTCCACTGATAATAAAATGAATTGCATTGTGAATGTTGCTTGGTAGGTAGGTGATGAAGGTTTTGAGCCTGTGGTTGAGGTAATAAAGGAGAGCTTGTTGAAGGTCAGAACGACCTAGAGAGGTCAATGAAAGAGTAGTGGTAAAGACAGTGTTGACATATTAGAGCAGGCTAGAGGAGATGGTAGTCCTTACATGAAGTGCTAATCATCATCGTTCCCATTTTGGTCCAGAGCCTTAAAACTTCCCATCTAATAAATGTTTGCAGACTGTCTACAAATGTGTTAAGATTTGCAAAGGAAGAATAAAAACTGGCAATAACAGTGTTCTTAATGATACCCATACCTAGTGAGCCCCTCCCTCTATGTTCTCCATTCTGCTCTATAGCTGTTTCCCCCATGTCTGTCACCTTAGTCTTTTGCTATGATTGAGGCTAACAACCTGTTAGATGTCAGGTTTGGAACTACTGTGTTTTAGGTGCCATCATTTCCATTCACATAGTACCTGTGCTGCCCAGCAGCAGTCACCAATGTTCATTGCGTTGGCTTCAGTTTTATTTAATGGGTTAAGGTGACCAGAGGACTGATATCATCTGTAGTGTTTATATTGGGAGTTCATTTGAATAATCTCATAACTTTTACAAAGTTGATAGAGGTTTCAAGATACCATTAAAATTTTGCAGGGGCACTTCATTTTATAGGGGAAAATATAGATGCTGCAGTAGACTTTATACTTTGAGAATTTATAAAAATCTCCAGATTAATTAGTTCCTCATGAATGTGAGATTGTAGGATGTATTTCTGTCTTAAGTGGTCTTGTGGGATCCTTTAGGGTAGAATCATCTTGTATTTTTGTGGCCTAAATGCTTGATATTCTTCAATAAAAAATACGTATATTCTCTCTCTCATTCTCATTCTACAGGTAAAAAAATTAAACTACTTTTTTTGGATGTGGTAATATTCAAGTACTTCGCTTTTTAAAAATCTAGATTGTTTACGGGTTATGTAAATAATTAGCATATTTGAAAGAAAATGGTACAGATGTAGTAAGAGGAGGTTCCATACCACACTGGATATACCCCCACGATGATCCCATGTGGGGTACACATATGTGTTCATAACAGGCAGCTGTTCTCCCTTCAGATACACTGACGAGATGGTACCCTGGCACCCTTGCCTGAAACTCATTAGCAACTGTGAGCAGAAGCTTTCCAGTCACACATCAAGGCGCTTGATAACGATGGAAAAGGTGAAGAAATTTGAGGTAAATTATCCAAATATTTTCTAGATAAATTTTGCATGGCTCAGTTTTTTCTAAATTTCCTTTAATCGTGTTTGGAAATCTTAGTCCTTGATTTAAAAAAAAAAAAATTGATGAATTCAGGAAGAAGTAGAAGTTTAAGAGGTTTGTGACATTTGGTGGGGTTTAAAGGGTAGGAGTAGAATACAGAAGTGGATAAAAGAATAGAAATAAAAGTTGACCTTAACATCTCAGGCTTTATTTGACACCTTGTTGCTAACTCAGTTTTAAAACAGAGCACTCTTAATTAAACAACTGTTGTCTAATTAGCGATCTACCAGTTACCATTTTTCTCTAAAAGCATGACCTACTTGATTGCAGACTATACTGAAGAGAAAATGTCAGTTGTGTTAGGGAGAAAGGAATTTCCCCTCATCTGTTAGGACCTAACACCTGCCTTGTCTCCTCTCCTCCCCTTCCCTCCTTCACTTTCCCCTCCCCTCCTCCTCTCCCTCCCTCTTTCCCCTATCTCCCCACCTCTCTCCCCCCTCCCTCCCTACACACACACACACACAGTTTACTTAAGCTTGAGGAGAAATAACATTTGTGTTGTTTCATGTCCAGATCAGCTTCATTCAATTCATGTGGCTGTCCAGTTTTCTCAGCACCATTTATTGAAGAGACTGTCCTTTCCCCATTGTTTATTCTTACCCCCTTTGTTGTAAATTAATTGACTGTGTTTGCATGGATTCATTTCTGGGCATTCTGCTCTGTTTAATTGATCTATGTACCTCTTCATGCTAATACCATACTATATTAAATAGCTGTGTAACATAGTTTGAACCAGAGAGTGTGATGCCTCCAGCTTTGTTCTTTGTCAAGATTACTTTTGCTATTTGGGGTCTTCTTTTGGTCCATACAAATTTTAGGATTGTGTGTTCTATAAAAAGTGCCATTGGAATTTTGATAGAGATTGCACTGAATCTGTAGCATGGACATTTTAACAATATCCTGTGAACATGGGATACTTTTCGTTGTTTGCGTCTTCACTTTTTTCATCAGTTTCTTATAGTTTTCAGTATACAGGTCTTCATATTTTTGTTTAAATTTATTCCTAGGTATTTTATTTTTTTCGATGCAGTTGTAAACAGGATTATTTTCTTAACCTTTCTGATGGTTCATTATTAGCGTATAGAAACACACCTGATTTTTGCATGCTGATTTTTGTATCCTTCAATTTTCCGTAATTTGTTAGTCTTAATAATTTTTTGATAGGGTGTTTATCTTCCAAGCTAAAGACTTTAGTTTTCTCTGTATAATGTCATCTGCAAATAGTGAGTTTTACTTCTTTCTTTCCAATTTAAATGCCTTTGAATTTTTGCTCAACCCCAATTGCTGTGGCCAGGACTTCCACTACAGTGTTGAATAAAAGTGGCAAGAGTGAGCATCCTTGTCTTGTTCCTGATCTTAAAGGAAAAGCTTTTAGCTATTCACGTCAAGTATGATATTAGCTGTGGGCTGGTCATATATGGTCTTTATTATGTTGAAATACATTCCCTCTATGCTCACTTTATTGGTAGTTTTTATTATAAATGGATGTTGAATTTTGTAAAATGTTTTTTCTGCATCTGTTGAGGTGATCTTCTGATTTTTATCCTTCATTTTGTTAATAGGTTATATCACATTGATTTGGAGATGTTGAACCATCCTTGCATCTCTGGAATAAATCCCACTTGATATTGGTGTATGATCCTTTTAATATATTGTTGAATTTGGTTTGCTAATATTTTGTTGAGGATTTTTGTATCTCTTCATCAGAGATAGTGACCTGTAGTTTTTTTTTCTTGTGGTGTCCTTGTTTGGTTTTGGTATCAGGGTAATGCTGTCCTCATAAATTGAGTTTGGAAGTGTTCCCTTCTCCAGTTTTTGTAAGAATTTGAGAAGGATGGTTATTCTTTTTTTAATATTTGGTAGAGTTCACCAAAGAAGCCATCTGGTCCTGGACTTTTGTTTGTTGGGAGGTTTTTGATTTCTGATTCAATCTCCTTACCAGTAATTGGTCTATTCAGATTTTATGTAATTGATTTCTTCATGACTCAGCCTTATATGGTTGTATGTTTCTAGGAATTTATATCTTCTGGGTTGTCCAATTTATTGGCATTTAATTGCCATAGTAGTCTCTTACGATTTTTTGTACTTACATGGTATCAATTATCATATTACCTATTTCATTTCTGATTTTATTTCATTTCTATATTAATGGGAAAATTAAGACCCATTGTGGACAATGCTTTCCCTTGAGTTTAATTTAAGAAAGATTACTTTTAGATTTATAATATTTCTCTTAAGTAAATTTATTTGATACTCAGAAGAAATAATAATCTAAGGATGCTTCTGAGATTTTTTTCTTCTATATAAAAATGATAAGGGCACTCACCTTAGGTATTTTTAAAGCTATACAGACAGTATTAATTTTCGCTTGGTTACTTTTTATTTTACTTATGTCCTTTTTAAATTGATTAAAAAAAAAAACAGGAAAAAACCTAATGCTCAAGTAGTTTTTGAAATGGTCTTAACTGTATAAGACCAAATTTAATCAGTGAGTTTTAACTAGTATGGAGTTTACTATAACTGAAAATACTATCTTGTTAAATTCACGTTTGGTCTTTAACTACTTCATTTCTACTTTCTATTTATGTGGAGAGAAGTGTGTATAATTGCAGCAAGATCTCAGTCCTTTATAATGCAAGTGGTGACATAAAATTGTCAAACAGTTCTCATGCATGTCTAACAAATTGTTCAGTGTTGTTGATTTTGGCAATGGAATACTATTAAATTTAGGTTTTTACATTTTCGTGTACTGTATTTTTGATTAGTCACTTGTTAGATTTAACTTCAGTATAACATTTGGCCCTCTTTAAAAATGTAAATAAGTGCAGAAACTGTCTAACGAATATGGATATTCTATAAAATGCTGTATCTTTAGATTATTGGCTATGGTTTTTAGATTTATTGAGCATTAGTAGAAATTCTTGGCAAGCATGTTAAAATTATGAAGATGCCTGATAAGAAGAGCCAATGTTTTGTCATTGTTCCCTGCTGATACAGTCTGAAAGCTAAATGAATGATAAATAACACTTTTATAATGGTTTATTGTTTGCCAAGCTTTCGTCTCCATTAATCTTATTATTTTGCATGTTTTTGTGATTAGAAATTGTCAGAGTTGCAACCGAAACTCCTCTTTGTCGTTGACATTATGTATCCTTTTTTCTACATCATGTTGCGTCTTTACCAAAACACCTTTAGAATATACCAAGATTAAAATGCAGATATTCTTGAATGTCATGTTACTAGTTTCTTTTTAAAGATAGTCTTTCTTCGTCACTCATGGGGCCATGGGAGAATGTGATTTGTTTTTAGAACTCATTTTTTCTGTTGATACAACATGTAGCCAATACTGCTATATACAGTTATGGTCACAGTGGTTACTTCTATAAAACATTTTTCTCTTATAAAATTCATAGGAGAAAAATCCTGATCTCTGGAATTGTTGGAACAGATCAGAATGTGAGTGGAATAGTTATGTCTCTAGTGAAAGTCACCTAAAACAATACTCTCTCAACCTTTTCTACCAATATACTTGGACAGACAAAAGAGTACCCAAAGTAGCCATTTTCAAGACTTTCTTGAAATATTTTTTATATATTTGTGCAACTTTTATACTCTATAGTACTGTTTAAATAAAAAAATATATATATTTAATATTGCCATTGCACTAAATGGGTCATCACATGCCCTATTTGTTTTGTGGCTTGTTTACCTGACATGCTACCTTATTCTCCTAGAGATTTGAGAGGTACTGAAATATAAGTAAGTTTAATTTTAGACACTACATAGACATTAATTTAGACTAAAGTTTTAATGTGTAAATCAATTGTAATTATTTTAAATGGCTAGCAAGTATAGTTTAGATGATTTAAAATAGGGAATATTGGAAGGTCATAGCGGCAGGTGATGAAAGGTAATGTAACTATTTTGGACTGAATGAGTCCAATAACATGAATCTGATGAATGCTTCATTAATCAGTATGTAAGGTGGCCAAAACTGAGGGATTTGACTAAAGGACTGAAAGATTTGAAGCCATGGAGGAACAAAGAACAATTAACATTATAACATGTTTTAAATGAAGAAGGAAGAGAAAAGATGGTGGGGTCACTTGTTTGAGAAAATGACTTATCAATGGCTTGAAGTGGAAGAAATTAGTCTTTGTGATAGTAGTTTATATATTAGAATGATAGGGATGTTTCTAATCATAAACTGGTGTTTCACTGACATAATTACTTGTGCCTGTTTCCATTATGCATTATCTTGTCTCAGAATGAATTTTGGCAGTTGATTTTTCTTTGGCAGCTATTTGAATTAAAGGTGGTTCCTTCTTGTTGACTCTTCTTTTTTAAATATTTTCATTTTTTGCTTATCCCTTTCAAGATGGTAGCTATTTTCCTTATATTTAGAGTGATGAAAGGTTAGAGATTAGGTATAAAGTATTTCAATCATACAATGTGCCTGGTGAAAAGTAGATGCTATGTTATTTTTCAGTGAGAAAAATAGGACAGGGTGACACTAAGTAAGAACATGGTGATTGGATATGAACTTAGTCTAGGTCTTAATATAGTAATCAATATACCATCAATGTGTGTGTGTGTGTGTGAGAGAGAGAGAGAAAGAGAGAGAGAGAGAGAGAAAGAAAAAGAGAGAGAAAAAGAGAACCTTTTAAAATATTTTGCAAAGCAAAAGGAAACTGCTTGCATTATCTATAAATTATAAATTGAGATGTTTGAAAGGGCTTATAAAAGCAGATGGAAGCCTGGTGATGCTTCATAGCATGTTGCATGAATTCACTTTTAGGGATCTTGTCATCCATCTACTTCTGAATGATTGCTTTTGCTGTTAATCGTACTTTTCTTTGAATTTAAATCTTAGAGGGTTGTCATGTTGCCTTTTATACTTCTGCAACTAAATG